ACTCTCCCTACATCCTATCCCTGGTTTAGTATCTTGAGCATGTATGGTAAACCTTCTTATCTCTGTGAAAGTGAAACACAGACATTCTTTTGCTGATTTCTTCCCAAGACAGACCTTTCTTCCAAATCACTAGCCTAAAAAGCTGTGAACCCACCTATAACCTACAAGCCTCTGCTTCCAGATGTCCTGACGTCTTGGGTCAGACCAATGGAAAAAAAAAATGAAACACCTTTACAAACTTTGTGTCTCTTGCTCTCAAAACCAAATAAAAGGAGCCACTGTATTTAAGCACCCTGAGAAACATGCTTGCCTTTCTCCGGGTCTGGTCACTCCATTTCATGCTTAGTAATTATTGCTTCTACAGAGCTGGTTATTTCTGTCGACATGGAGAAGAGCAAAATGAGGCATGTGAGGAGGTTAACTTGCCTAGTGTGTGTGTGGGGGGGGGAAGGGGCAGGATGTTGCATTTTCCTCTAGTCAAAGCCGGGGAGAGCAGGGGTGGGGTGACCAGCTGCTTTTCAATTTAAGATATTACAAGAAATGTTTGTTCCTGGCCCAATGGGCTTGTCCTGCAAGAGAGAACATCCTAACACCCAGCTCCAAGAAAGGTCAAAATCAGCTTCATGGTTCCAAGGAGGTGAAACCAAGCAGGGACCCCTAAAAGAACTGGGCTCTTAGTTTCCCCTTCTGTTAAGGAAAAAAATGGAAATTTCCCAAACTGAAAATTAGTAAGAGCTGAACTAAAAGTCTTTCTAAGCTGCTTGAAATGTGAAGGCCATTTAAATTTTAATTACCCAAGTAAAGCCTGAGAGTCTGGACTTCTGTTAGGAAACAAAATGGGGGACCAGCAGTTAGCGTAATGGCTATGTCACTGGACTCCCACGTAGTCGACTGCGGTACGCGTCCCAGACCCAGTGGCTTAAAACTCACGCCGGGTGCGTGTGCGTGCGTGCCCAAGATCAGAGAGGAGAACAGAGGAGAAGGGATTGCGGCGTGGCCATCCCCCCTGGGGGGTGATTTCTCGCTTTCTGTCTCTCTGTCTCTCTGTCTGTCTGTCTGGCAAGTGCACATGCCCTATGGCAAAAAAAAAAAAAAAAAAAAAGGAAACAAAAATGACCTTCAAACGGTGGCCTTCACCTCTCCTCCAGCAGGCTGCAGAAGTGGTGCTGTGTTACTCTAACAGGGCAACATGAACTCTTCCAAGGAACTTGTCACCTCCGTCCTTCTCTGCCATCTCAGATGCAGGAAGTAGGGAATCATGGTAATTAAATAACTTCTGGGGGCCAGAAGGGAGCATGGTGGTTGTGGCACTGGACTCCCACATGGCCAACCACATTTTGAGTCCTAGACTCAGTGACTTGAAACTCACTCCAGATGCATGTGCGTGCTTCCCCAAAATCCCAAAAGGAGAATAGAGGAGAAGGGATTGTAGCATAGCCATCCCCACTGGGTGGTAATTTCTTGCTTTCTGTCTCTCTCTTTCTCTCTCTCTCTCTCTATAGTTAAAAACCCCCCCTCAAAAAAAAAAAAAAAAGACTTCTGTCCATGAGTCAGGGCCAAAAGATTTCTAAAACTCCCACTTGAAGGAAAAGATAAGGTTTTAACTTAAATTCTTAAGATGTTTTCCAGGCTGGAGAATCTGGCTGTGCGCCCATAGGGCCCAGGCTGAATGGCACTAGAAACCCGATAACTGCCCCTCCCAGAACAGAAATTTATTACCGAAAGCCCCACTAATCAAGAAAGACGAGATGATCCTGTGGCCAAGACGCCCTCCCCCCCACTTAATCTTGCCCTTAAGAATGGATGTGGGGGAGCCCTCGGGAAGACTAGGCCCTCTCAGCAAGAGCTGCCCGCTCTCCTCGCTTTGTGCCCCCTTTGTGCTCTGCACACGGCCCAGAAGCTGCTCTTCCCTGCCCCACGCCCTGTGCCTCCATTTCGGTTTGTGCTGCACAGGTGGGTGACCTTGGGTGGAGTTCAGTAGCAGGGGGAGAGAGAGGAGAGAGAGCCTCCCCCGCTCCCTACCAACCACACCTACTGTTGGAAAGGAGCCAGCCCAGACTGAAGGCTGCAGGGGCTGCCAGGCCCGCTCTGGTGGAGCACAGAAACTGCCTCGGCAGGGGAGGATGGTGTCAGGACAGGACCTCTGCTGTCCCCCGCACACATCTGCTCCTTGGCGTGGGTCACAGCTGCTAAAGGGATCAAGCCTCAGAAGCCTGCTCTCCTCCTTTGAAGCTGACAGCTTGATGCCTGTGGAAATGCAGTCCTATTTCAGGATTTCATTTTAAAGAGGTTTCAAAAGAGTGGCTTGAAGGCTCGGCTGAATCGCTTATTATGGCTCCTCTCCCGGCCGCATCTCGGCGGGTGAGCCCAAACATGGCAGCTGGGGCTTCTCACGCCACCCGCAGGCAGGCGGTTGTTCTAAACCAGCACCTGGCTCGTTCTGGAGGGCTCCAACTCTCCTGGAGCTTCTCCCAAGAAGCAAGAGAACATTCACGCCTTGTACCTTTCCTACATGGTCTGCGTCTGAAAGGAGTCCCCGGGGACTGTCAGGTGAATTACATGGCTAGGCTCCCGTTTATGTCAGGCCTGTCTTAAAGACACACACACAAACACACACACACACACACACACACGGCTGTGAGAATGCTACTAGGGACCCTGGGAGGCTGTGGTCCCTGGAGCCCCAGAGACAAATGGGCTTCTGAGGGGAGAGGGGAGAGCAGCTCCCCGCAGCCCTGCTGTCCCTATTGCTGTCCAGGACAGGAGCTCCTTGGGGTGACGGGCACGTACCCCGCCTGCACATGCGCTATGGAGCTGATGCTGCAGGCCCTGCCACCCACGTGGTCTCTGGGCTCTGCCCACCAAGTCAAGGATATAGCAGTCCACAAGCAGAAATCAAGAGACTCGCAGAACTTTTTGTTTTTGCCATGGGACAGGTGCACTTGTCAGAGAGACACAGAGAGAGTGAGAGGAGGAGTGAGAAATTACCCCCGCAGAAGGGCGGGTGGCCATGCTGCAATCCCTTCTCCATGCCCGGGGGATTTGGGGCATGCATACACGTGTACCTGGCATGACTTTCATCCAGAACTCAAACCGCAGTCGGCCATGTCTGGGATGCAGCACTTCTCTAGCACGCCACCTGCTGGCCCCTCGGGGAGTTTTTAATATAACTACTTGGTACCTTGGCAGGGGCGTACTGTGGTTCCGAAGACAGGGAGACAAGGCACAGGCGTCCCAGGTAGACCAAGCCCAGGTGAGTGCTCTGGGACCTCCCTGTGTCCCCGGGCAGCTGCGGGGTGTGCCTTGGACTGGAGCCACAGGGAGCGCACCAGTCTGGCCCTCTGCTTCAGAGCAGCTGTCAGTACTGCATCTGGACCCTGAGGGGTGCTGGGCACCACCATGTCCCCTCAAAGCAGTCAGAGCATCCTGGCTCTTCATCTCCAGAGACTTCCGAGGAAACCATCCGATGGCCTGATTTCCATTCCAGTGACAGTCACCACAGCTAAGCCATCACTTTCATCAGACGGAGTTGGGCCACCAGGCAACCCCGCGACCTTCGAGGTTCACTGCATACAGAGCTGTGTTCCCTTTTGCTGACTCCCCCAAGACCAGTGCCTGGAGAGAAACTCCATTCCCCAGGACATTGGCAAAGTCCCTGGGCCGTTGTGACCTCGCCTCGCTCGGCTACACTGGGCGCCTCCAGCCCCGCCCCGAGCGTGACCGGGAAAGTGCTTCTCTGAGAAGGGTTCAAGTTCACAGCCTGCCTCTATTTTTAAGAGGAAGCATTGTTCCCGCGGGTGCACACCACTAATTTCCCTGGCATCTGCTGACTCATTCTCATCACGTGCTGGTTCACCCAGAGCCAGGAAGAAGCATCGGCCACCAGGGCGTTTGTCTCGCGCAGGGGAGGCAGGGGCCTCGCCAGGGGACTCACTACCTGCTTCGGCCCCAAAACATGGTTCATCTGCTTATATTCACTTTTGAAAATTTGCCAGATTATGGAAAATGTGCGATTTTGCCAAAGGCAGGAGAAAACCCTAACTGGAGAGCAGCCAGGATAAAATCCTCAAGATCAAAGTTAACTGGCAGCAAGGCAATAGAGAATTACGCACACACAGCTGGCCCCTGTGGCGCAGAGGTTAAGAGCTATGGGGACCAGCAGTTAGCGTAATGACTATGTGATTGGACTCCCATGTAGTCGACCGCAGTTCGAGTCCTGGACCCAGTGACTTAAACTCACGCCGGGCGCGTGTGCGTGCATGCCCAAGATCCTGAGAGGAGAATGGAGGAGAAGGGATTGCGGCGTGGCCATCCCCCCGGGGTTTGGTCAGATATTAGCAGCATAGGCATTCCAGTTTCCGTTGAGTTGTCTATTTGCATCTTTGAATCAAACATATATTTCCTGTAAAGCTTATAATTGAGTATCTGTGTTTTGTTGTTTGTTTGTTTTGCTTTTTTGTTTTTTCGCATGCACTCACTGGAGAGACAGAGAGAGGGAGAAAGTGAGACATCAGCCCACAAGGAGGACCCTGTGGCTTAAACTCATACTGGGTGCACGTGCATGCATATCCAAGATCCCGAGAGGAGAATGGAGGAGAAGGGACTGTGGTATGGCCATCCACCCGGGGGGTGATTTCTCACTTTTTGTCTGTCTCTCCAGCGAGCAAAAGTGCCCTGTAGCAAAAAATCTCTCAAGAAAAAAGAGCTGTGCATTGGGAGCTGGATCCCACATGGCCAACGTGGCTCACATCCTGGCCCTGGTGGCTCAAAAAACACACTGCCAACCAAGCTCGGGTGCGGGCCCCAAATCCTGGGAGCGAGAAACAAGGACTGCAGTGTGACCACGCCCCGCTGGAGGGTGCTTTCTCTCCCTCCCCCCCCTCTGTTTTGTGAGTGCACACACCGTCTGGAAAGAAGCCAGAATTATGTCACACGAAGGCAGTCACGCCAACGCAACGTGAGGCTAAGAAAAGCAAGCATGGCACGAGATCACCCAGATGCCACAGGAAGAATGGTTCTATTTGGTAAACACGGGCCACGGCAGACTGCACCCCGTTAAGATGGTCCCCTCGTCAAGGGCTGCTTGTCTAGTTACTGCTGCGGGAAGGATCTTTCCATCTTGAAGATGTGTCACTGGCTCATCGAACCTATTTCTGGAGCTCTGCAAGAGCCAATTTAAGCCGGCTTCTCAGCTCACTCTGCACTCAAAAGAGCCCAATTTCCAATTCCACCTCAGAGCCCGTGAGACCAGATGCTGTGACAAATGTTCCAGCGAAATGAACCTGGAAGATGATCCCCGGGTGCTCCTGGGGGGAGCCAGGACTGTCAGCTCTGTCTGTGGCTCGAAGGTACATGGGTTTGGAGTGGAGTGCTGCCAGCTCCTCCCTGCCGGTGTTACTGATGGGACAGGCTTTGGTGGCAGCGAGGGGGGTCTTGGGGGCAGAAGAAAAGTTCCCAATGAGGCTGGGGGCAAGGGACAGGTTCAGAGTGTGGTCACAGTTACAGTGGGGCCCTACTGCATCTGGCAGCCTGAACTGGGCAGCAATTCCTGCAAATGAGAAGCCACTGCTTTGGTTAGGTAAGTCATTGTCCCATAAGCCCCACTTGGAGCACTGTCATAAAAGAAGTGGCAGATTCCAGTGGCTTGGTCTTGCTCCAGGGTGTCCACAGCGCCCACCGACACCTGCAGCAGGAAAAGGCAGAGGGAAGGAATGAGCAGAATCCACGTCCCCCCAGACCCCTGCAGGGACTCTGCCCCCCTGCAGGGACTCTGCCCGCTGGATGGCATGTGCTGGAGCTGGGCCACCATGGGCCAGCACTGGGCTTGCTGGAGAAGCGCTCCAATTCCCACGGCAGGAAGCCAGAGCCAGCTGGGGAACATTCCACCTCTGCTCTGGGCACTGTCCTGTCTTCCCGGACCCTAGTCTGCAGCTCTTTACTGATTCTAGTGACAGGGTAGGTTTGCCTCACTCCGGTTTATGCAGGGCCACTTCCGTAGCGAACAGTGGTGACTAACCTGTGCTGAGACAAGCCTGTCTATCCCCCAGGTCTTTAGATTTCCCAAGCGGCCACTGTGCCATTTTCTAACCAAATGGTTGACATTTTTTCACCATCTGTGATGACATTTTCTTTGTTCAAGTATATTCGTTCTTTCTGGACACAGACTCTCTGGCCTCAATGGAGATAAATGCCAGGCAGCCCATAGCCCTGCCCCGTCCCTGCCTGGCGGGCACGCCGGGTGTAGGGCCCATGCACCTGGTCCTGCAGGAACAGCTGGTTGGCCATCTGCACGATCTGGTCCACCTGGATGATGCCCCCGATGCTGTTCATCTCGGCATCCGACAGCAGCGTCAGCACCATGATGGCCTCCACCAGCAGCTGCCGGTACTCGGGCTGCGGCACGCGGGTCAGCACCGACTCCACGTGCCAGGCGAACTTG